TGTATTGGTAAACTAGATGTAAAAAAACGTACCAATTGAAATAAAGCTGTATAAATATTTATTGTATTGCAAAGGTACATGACAAATAATGATTACAATGGAGTAACTGAATCAATTGCGATTAAGAACAGTTCAACTAAAAATCTTATCTAAATTTCTACTTATGTCAATTGAACAAAAACAATCTCTTTATTAATTATTACAATCTGATCAATTATTTAATGTCATCACGTTTCAGTCATCATCAAAAAACAAATATAACGAAAATATGTATTGAATGCAGAAAAAAAAACAAACTATTTACGTATCATGAAAATTTTATCCATCATTCAATCGTCTTATTCATCGAAAACATATACTCAATGCAATCAAAAACAAAATTTTTAATCATCATTGGGATTTTCCCAGTATTCAATAATCTCAAATCTTATGATCGAAAGCAAATATAGTAAAGATATATATTGAAATTAATATAAAAAAACAAATTAAAGTTTATTACTACTTTTAAATACAATAATCATCTTGTATACGTTGACAATAATTTTTTTTTTACAAAATTACAAAGATTCTAATCCTAATCGAACATCTTGTAAGCAAGATCTTATCAAGATTTTGAAAAGATAATCTGTTCTTATATTTTCTTATTGTATCTGACACATCTGTACCCAAGATCTTGATCAAATCTTTACCAAGATTTTAAAATGTCAACATCAGAGAAAAAAGTAACAATCTGAATATCTTTTTCCAAGATCTTGAATTAAAATAACAGCGGCATCATTAATTAATTTATTTTTTTTGTCTAAAATTCTTAATTCTTTTTAAATTTACTTGCGAAAAGATTTCTAACTTAATTTTCCACTCTATCAGGTTTAAAGGAGGTTCTCAATAGTGAAGACATGCATCATCCAATACTATTTGAGATTCGACATACGAAGAAAAAAGAAATAATAAGGATAAGCTATTATCAATGATTAATTTTTTGTTTCGACTGATTTACTATATTTTTATTAAAGATTTTGTTTCGTTTTTCAAAAATATACCCAATATTGTATCAAAGCTTTTGAAGGTAAGAGCAGCATAATGTTCAATATTCAAAAAGTAAATTATTTTCACACAAAAAGAAAACGATAGATTATTAGATGTCTTAGGTTTCTCTATTTATGAAATTTTTAAATAAAAATAATTATACACTGCATATACCTTCTTGTGAGTAATAGTGACAGATTAGTCTAGAAAAAATTTTATTTTTAAGCTAGATTACTATTCTAATTCTAGATCATTTATGAAAGACTACTATTCTGTCAATATCGATTATTTTAATCGAAAAAAACAAATTATTTGTCATTGAAACTCCTTTTTTTACTAATAAGTTAATTTTTTCATATTAAATTGTTTCTTTGTACTAGACTGATTTATACATGTAATTAATGTACACAAATAAAGTATATATCTTGAATCCATAAAATAAGTTTTTTTTTTGTAATATGTTTTTGTTTCTGTAATGTCTCTTAGTAGAAGTTATGTTTTTTTTAAATATTTCAATAAACATTTTTGTTTTAAATGAAAATTTAAAAACAAGACATTGGTTAAGATCTTGGAAATCTTAACCAAGAGTGCCCAGGATATGATTATCTGTACTTAAGATCAATGGACAAGATCAGAAAATGCAAGATATTTAATAGAAGATCTTGAATATCTGTTATCAAGATCTTACGAATCTGTACCCAAGATCTAATTGTAGATCTTGGTACAAGATAACTGTATTATCTTATACCTAAATTTTTAAGATCTGTTCATATTTCTGTACCTTATATCTTGGCCAAGATCTTGCTTACAAGATGTTCGACTAGGAAATTCACCTGCCATATTCATGCTTTAATACGTGTAATTAGCTATGCGACAACCAATATATCTATCTTAGTTGTTTTATTAAACGTTTTTTTAGGTTTCTCTGTAGTTATCATATTAAATGTTTGCTTTTCATTCATAAAGTTCAATGACAGATTGTGCAGTTGACTGATAGAGAGACGTGTTGTGAATGATTTTTTTATTTGAATTAGTTCGTCCTTTTTTTCTTCGTCTGTTGAGTAAAAATGGTGCTTTCATATGAGCTGATGCATAACGATATATCCGATGATGGTAAAATATTTGAACTTGTTGAAGATATGGGCATGGTTATTATGAATACTAATTGATTGAATTAACTTCGAAGGTATTGTTATCCCAGTAAATGATTGTTTTGGCTTCTTCTCATCAAAATTCTATTGAAAAGAAAAATAAATAAAAGGAACAATATAGAATAGAATATCTATACTTGTCTACCTTAACTTACTTCAATTCTACGTTTTGCTTTTTCAATAATACTAACAGCTAGACGTATTACTTCACTATCTAAGTTATAATAGATATTTTAAAAAATCTATGATAGTCATATTGTATGACATTAAGTGATGGTAGAAGAAGTATAAGAGAAGTTTTTGATTGATTTTTTTGTTGATTAGTTGAATGAATTATGAATAAGTTGAGGTCAAAGTTTTCCTATATTTTTATATTTGAATACGTATAAAAATATGATTTGATTCAATATATTATCAATCTTATTCATAATTAATTATAGAAAAAAAATTAATATCCATCGATGTTTTTGAAGCAGATGTTCCAAAATAAATGGAAAAGTAGGTTGTAATTGATATTTTTTTAAGAGAAAAAGCTTTTTTTCAGTTTTTTGTCAACAATGCAGCACTGTATAAGAGTGAAGAGATGGAGGATGTGCTCTGAAAAATACTGTGTTCTTTAGAAAATATCAGTTACAATTTACTTCTCTGTTAATGCATTATTCACTGAAATGTCTACTAAGAGTTAAGCAATCCAAAAAAAAAAATAACAATGAAAATTTTTGACCAGAAATTTCGCATGTAGATAGATTAAAGAGTCATTCGATAGCCGTGAAAGTTTCAACAAAAAGAAACATGTCTTTATCAAGATTAATATTAAAATAGAGTGGATCATTTGTGTTCTCTCACGGTAAAGTGTTGTTTTTTGTTTATTGAATGTCTCGAGAAAGACATGCTCGTTCTCGTCGCAACTTTTATGACTATCTAATGATAATTAAATCTATCTATATGCAATACTTCAAGTCAAAACTCATCAGTTTTTGATTTTTTGGTAAGGTTTCGCTCTCAGTAGAAATTCTTGTGAAACAATCATAATTCTTTGCCTGTATGTTATAGATTCGAGCTCTTTTAAACTATTCTTTATCTTAATATCTCTATCGCACGATCTCCGACACAATGAGTAAATCCACATTGGAGTTATTCCTTGGTTTCGTAAATGTTGCTGTTGCTTCTATTTTATCAATAAAGAAGATCAAAAATTCTTCTTCCGAAATTCGACATTAATTAAAGATAAATTTTGGTTTTTTTCTTCAATTACACGTTTTGTTTAAATGTGAGATATGATTTTTTCTAAATCATACTTTGTATAGTGCAAAGTACGAGTGAGAACGTTGTAATAAATAGCACCAAATAATTCACTTTCTCTTCCTTACTACTCTTAGCTTCTTAATAGTATGGCTCTTATAAAGATAACTGTACCTACTAAAGCTGCTCTAGATACATTCCATATTTAACCTGTCTGTTATAGGCTTTGTTGTTTAACCTGTGAGTTTTTATTATGAGACGAATCATTTCGAATGCAATATTGAAGATAAACATGAAAAACTCGTATAACATACCAAAATTCGTTTCATGCGTCACTGATATCGTTTCCATAGTTGTAACAGATGACACGATCGAATAGAATATTACTATCGCTAGCTCACGATGAGGACGAACTTTTATTGTTCATCTGAACTGCTCTTAATGTTTACCATAAAGTTTTTTGTTTATGATTACAATTACACGCGCTTGAATAAGAATTTCAACCATCAGATATTGTCAAAAGTTCATAAATCTTGCCTCACAATGCGTTCATATCCCATGACTTCCTTGCTCCACATACTCGAGTACTTCGTCAGCATCAGACAAAAAAAAACTGAAAAAATAAGTGAAAAAGCAAAAAAAATATCTCGATCATTTTCGGATGCCAATCGCAGTTCCCAATAGCCCTTCAAACACATTTCAGAAAAATGCGACATGAAAACAACTACTTGTTACACATCCTAAAACATTCACTACTCTATGCGCTACATACTTTTCATCGCTTTTACATTTGCTTTCTGTACATGTTTCTTGTTCGTATTAACAAACAACAATTAACATCCTGACATGACCGGATTTTTCGTGTGTTCACATACTTCATTACTTTTTTTTCTATTTCTACAGCTTTTCTGATTAATTTTTTTACATGATTTTTTTAAAAATAGTCTGAGTTATGGATGCAATATCAATAAGTGATATGCAAATAAACAGATCTATCACTTGACACATTCACTTGTATACAAGCATATATAACCAAGCAGACAAGAATTACGGATAATATGTTTAAACGATCTAATCCGGTTTTTTGCTGAAGTCATGCACCTATGTTGCCAATCGAGAAGAACTATAGAAAAAATCCAAATTAGATAGACCATAAACTGCTGAAAGTTTTCTTCACCTTGGATTGCCAAGCTTACATATCTACTTGGAAGCTCCTCAGTAGAAAGATAATTCTCCAATCTTGCAAAATTTTCTTTTTTTTTTCATGACGAAGTTCCATCGTAGTATTCATTTTGTTGCTCAACCATTCTCAAAAAACCGCTCGGCCTCTCCTCAATTACATCCGTTTTAACGAAAACTTCCCAATCAGTCGTCTGAATCATTGTCTCCCTAATCCTGATTACTTCAAGACACCCTTGATTATTTATGCAAAACAGAAATTAATATTAATAGCATTTATTTAGAAAAAGTAAGGAAATTATACGATGCTTTTTCTTGATTCAGGTAAGTTACAATAGATAAATATAGAATAAAATGTTCAAGTATATAGTTCGATTGTCTTTTCATTTAAATGAATCGCCATCAGTATACGTATGATGCTCTTGGATAACCACCATAGTAAGGTGGATAACCACCATAGTATCCACCATAGTATCCACCATAGTAAGGCGAACGGTAACGATGACGATTATGATGATGATGGTGATAAGGATATATTGGAGGTGGATACATAGGTGCTATATATTGAGGCTGAGCTGCTGATCTGTTGCCCATTGGTATATTTAATACGTAGAAGGCTTGATATTGTATTTAGTTTCAAATATAACAAGAACTGCACAATGTTACCGTTTTTATATGTAAACAGAAAGAGACAAAACACATCACACGACATTTTCTATGTAAACAAAAACGATGACAATATGGGTTTTAATTCGCATGAATAATTTGAGATATTGATCGGTCAAATCAGTCGCAATATTGTTATACTTGGTAGGAAAGTTATTTAACATCAATCATATGCTGCGTCATTATTTCTATCACGCGCTTCAAACAAATCACAATGTATCACTGTAATGTAAACAATATCTCAAGGTAGAATAATTGCGTTTTTATAATCAGCTGTGTAATCCTACTGTCTCTTTAGTTTTTGGACCAATCCATGCCAAGGCATACCTTCTACCA